TGGTTTGAGCTCTGCAGGGGCAAGGCTCTGGTCCTGCAGTTTGCTGCTCTGCTGGGGCTCTATGGAGGAGCCTGGCCAGGCGTACAAGCACCCAAGTGGGGGTCTTGCAGGGTCTCTTGGGACCTTGCTCCTGCAGTCATCACCTTTCTGTAATCTGGGTGCTGGATTTATTTGTCTGCATTTTAAAGGAATAAAACCCTCAAATCGGTATTTAGAAGTGCAGGAACAGCTTGCAGAGCATTTTATCCATCTACTAATACTAATGACCACCTTTGCAGGTAGCTGGAGGGTGCTGTTCCAGAGCTGCTTCCCAGGCTCTGGCAGAAGGCAGCTGATGTCCATAGCAAATCAAGATGCTTGTTGTAATGTTCCCCAAAATGTAATTTGATTTGCCTTTGTCAACAAAATCGGTGGCAACATCCCCTGCCTGAATAAATATCCCTGCAGGGTAGCACATGCTTTGTAAATAATTTTCATTGTAAGCCCCTCTTCCTGGCGGGGTGGAGAGCTGAGAACATTCATCAAGGCGCACATTAAGAAAATAATTCTCTTGTACCTCATTTGTGCAATAAATGAAGTCCACAGATTTCTGCTTCTGCAGCAGGGAAAAGTAAAGAGCTGAGAGCAGAGGGGAGTTGACATTGGGTCTCTTTTCAATGGCCGTTCCTACCTCCCTGAGACCCCTGGCCAGCACCTCCCCATGAGTCTGGTGATGTGAGCACATCATCTTGTAGGCAGGGGGATGAGATGCTCCTTTGCAGTGCACCCCAAAAATTGGGTCTCTCATCCCTGGCCTGGAACTGAACATCTTGGATGATGCAAAGGCTGGGCAAAGCCTTACCCAGCTGCAAGGACTCTTTGGCCAGGCCTGAACCACTGCAGCCAGACATAAAGTAAAGGTTATTTTTCATGTGAGAAACTTGGGGATATTCACTTGCTTGCAACCTGTGCCCATGCCTGAGTGCAAAAGGGCTTTGAGCCAAACCCCAGCCAAGGCCTCACTTGCCTCTGGCTCAGGCTCTGGGAGCTGCACCCTGTGCTCTGCACCTTCAGGAGTCACCTTCAGTGCTCCTGCCCCTCAGGCTCTGCTCCCAAGCAGCATGGAATGGGCACATGATGAACCTATAGGACAGGGCTCAGTGGTTGGGAAGGAAACACCGAGGACATGGAAGAGTTTTGGCCTCTGATTAGCCACACTTTGGGTAACCAGACTGTTAAATCCCTACTTACCAACCCCTTGTCTCGGCAGAGGTCTGTCAAGCTGGGAGAATACCAAGATGGGAGGAAGCTTTGGTTTTTCCCTTGTAGAAATGTAAATCTGTTATTTATATATGTTTTATGGATGGCATGTTCCTATCCCCAGGCATTTTGCATTGGAATTCAACTCATTGCAAGCCTATTACATGTTCACTAACTATAAACCATCTGATTTATATTCATTAACCAGTAGTAGACAGCAGCAGTGGCATAACTGTAGCACTGGACATGCCTCAGTCGACGGGTGAACTAAATTTCAGTTAATTAAGGTGCTGTAATTGTTGTCCAGTACAAGTGTCTTCAGGGCATTCACTTTGTAACTAATTTTTCACCCCAACCTTCCCTGCATACTTGGTCGCTGCTCTGCAACTTTGCTTAAGCCATAAATTACAAGGAAATCAGCTCTCCTGCTTTCCTGGTAGAAGAAGGCCCATTTTCTGCTTCTCGCCAAGGACAGCGGTGGTTTAATGATTAGCAAAGTGCAGAGAAAGCAGGAGAAGGGTTATAATCCCCAAAGCAGAATGGGAGCCCACGGTCAGCCTTGGCTTGCCTTCACTGGAGGCTTTTGCTCAGAGATGGCAGGAGATGCTCGCACGACTGAGTTTGCCGACACAGCTTCGAGCCCAGCCTGGTTCAGAGGAGACCTGGTGCAAAACCTCAGATGGGTTAAACCTGGTTACTAAGAAATTAAGGGTTCAAACACCAAAAGTCAGCTCTCAGCTTTCCTGTCTGAAGCGTTCCCATAATGTATGAATCATGGACCAGATTTAAGTGTGGTGGTTCTTTCCTGATGTAACCTGAGGAGATCCATCATGGAATGGTTTGGGTTGGAAGGGAACTTAGAGCTCATTGAGTTCCAAGCCCCTGCCAGGACCAGGGACACCTTCCCCTAGAGCAGGTGAGATCCAGAAGATCCTTTCATAGCAGCAATCCAGAGTGAGCAGGGAGGGAGAAACCCCTTTTCTGAGAGCCCTTGAAGTGCCCGTTGTGCATGTTTGTGGGGTCCAGTCTCATTGCCCTCTCTCTAGTAAGGGATTAGACCCTCTGCCTGCTTCAGGCAAGCAGGTCTGGGGGTGCCCCTGTGGGGTCTGCAGGGCCAGGGCTGTCTAATGGGTCCAAAGTGAGTGGTTGGTAATGAGGAGCTGAGGAGCGATCAGTGTGAGGGAAATAGAGACCCTGCTGCTCTGGAGCCTGTGCACACCAACCACAGGGCAGTAATTAGGTGGGAAGCTGGATGTGGAACTGAAACAGTAATTATGAGGAGCTGCGAGATGCTGCCGTACCGCAGCCTTCCCTTCCTCCTCTGCTGCTGCCTTCCCCACCGCCCTGTTCTTTTACTCTCTTTGGAGTAATTGCTGCTTTGTTTTGTTTCCCCCAAAAGTTCCAGTTCAGAGAGGAGCCTTGTGCAGAGGGACATTTCCTCACCTCGCTTTTACAGCAGGTTGGAAGCCAAATGGAAAGTGGTTTCTTATACTTGATGTGAAAATCAGCGTGGGGCAGCTTAGAAGGTGACCAGCCCCGAGGCTGTAGGGGAGGGCAGCTCACACGGGTGGCATCAGCACTGAACAGGACGTTTTCCCTTTGCCTTTTGGAAACAGGGCAAAAAAACTACCCTTTGCTGTAGGTTTGGGCTGCCTGGGTTTGGCTGTGTTAAAGGTATCTCCCTGAGATATGCTGCTCAGGGAGTGTTACTTTGAAATGGTGTTTCTGGTTGCACTGGGGTTTGATGTGCAGTGTTTGCATGCATGCTTTAGGGGTGTAACCTGAATGAGGGGCTTGATTTTCACATGTGCTTCAGTAATGGAACGAAAGCCAAACCTCCCCTGTATGCTTTCAGTTTAGCCCATGTTAAAGACAATACAGCTTTGCCTGCAGTAGCCTTTTTAGCTGTCCTGTGCGTGAGTAAAGTCTCCCCCTGTGTGGCTCTGGTGAATGCCTGCAGACACCTCTAACGTGTGAAGAGGGCACTGGAGCTTCTCTTTGTCTGCTCAAGTTGCCTATTGATCTGACAGCTCCTTTCCAGACCAGCCTGGCAGCAGACATATGCCAGTCTCTCTGATAGTTCATGTTCACTTATTAATATAAAGATTCAACTTCACATTCGCTGGAGTAAATCTTGCATGATGCCTCTGACAGTAATTCAGTTGTAGGCTCAATCAGACGCTGGATCTCCAGGCCATGGCTATCCTGCTAGCCTTTTCCAATTTTTCACTACACCAGTCATGAATAAATCACCAAATCACATCAGATTGCTGAAAATGGAAATACCAGAGATAGGCACCAGTTCAGTAGTCAAAGAGCATCACCTTCCCGCAGCGAGCACGCGTGCTCTGTGCTCCCTTGTCTGCTCATCACGTCCCGTCCCATCATGCAGGGGCCCCAAAACTCTGCAAACCGCCAGCCTGCATCCTGCACATCCTCTGTGTTTAAATGCAGATCCCACCGCATGTGGACTCTGGCCAGGGAGAGGCAATTTCTGTTCACCAGACACGTTGCCAGGCAAGCCATCAGTAGTTTCCAGGTGCTCTGAGAGCAGGGTTTGCCCTCTCATGCGTGCTGCAGACAAGCGCTGCTCATTTTCAGTACTCAGTAGTAGAAAAAGCAACAAAATAGTTGAGTTTTCCAAGCTTGTCCCCTGCTCTCAGTGAATGTATTTTGCAGAGGCTCCAGTCTCACAGGATGTGTGACCACAGCATCCCTGGGCGGGTGGATTGCGGCTTGAAGCCTTAGGTCTATCTGTTTGATTCCTTCTGGTCCTCCTTTGTAATACTTGTATTTTCTCTGTTGTAATCCAGGAGCTTTTCTGCTGGAAACAGAGCAGGGGGAGATTGGGAATGCTGGGGCAGTGCTGAGACCCATCTGTACCTCTTCATCCTGGGATGGGAGTCCCAGATAGCACAGGCTGGGTCTGGGCGCATGGAGCACCCCACTCATGCAAATCCCAACCACCACCATTTAGTTACCTACCTGATGCTCCGTCACTCCCGATTGGATTAACCTCTAACCCTTCTCTTTGCACCCACACAAGGGACTCTGAAAGGCTGAATGGTCTCCTTTGAAACCTGACTCAAAGGGGGAAATCTTGGTTATGGCCTTGCCGCCGACGTGGGTAGGGCTGGGGTCTTCTCACCCTACTCTACCCATTACAGATGTGGGCATGTTGGTGCCTCTCGCGTGCAGTTGAACTCCTCCAGCATTGTTCTGTGAGAACTACGGACAAAAGGAGCTGCAAACTTGGCTTATTTAAATCACTTTAGGTCAGAAAATCAGCTAGAACTTCACAAAAATAAAGCCTAACTCACCCCTCCTGAAATAAATCCATTTCTTTAAAATTAACCCCCTTAATTTCGACATCAGTTCTGTTTGTGGAGGGTTTGTCTCATTGCTAATTCCTGGGGTTTTATCTGCGTTGTTATATTCAACCCCCTGCTAATAAAATGTCAGATTGCCAAATATAACGAGTATCCCTCCTATTGCAGCAAACCACTAAAATCAAACCTTACAGGAGAGGCAACAGAAAATTTCTATCACGCTCTTCTTACCCGAAATCAAAAGTAGAGTATTATTAGAGATTTCATTAGGATGAAGCAGATTGGTAATGAAATTACATTCCAGCTTTCTACAAACCCAATGTATTAAGGAGGTTTGATCAATGATGTTCACACAATTAATTTGGTCTGATTGCTGGGGATTACTCTATCGACAGTCACATTTCACACTTGTGGGGTTTCTTGTTTCCACAGTATATTCTCCACGATGTCAGATCACCCGATGGTGAAGCGGGTTTGAAGCCCCAGCTCTCAAAGCAACTTCCAGCGGACCATGACAGGAATCAAGGTAGGGATGTCACCGCTCTTAATTGCGTTTATGATGGTGTTACTTGTGGCCAGCCAACCTCAGGAGCCCTGAGCAGTCTCCAGGAGCAAGCAGAAATGGATGGAGAGCATGTTAATGCTCTCCTTGAGCAGCCTGGAGACTCTGGTTGGTCTGATTTGCCGTGCCTTGGTTCTGGAGGCACTCAGTGCCTGTATCATGGTGTCTTCCTGATGACGTGTGTCTCTGAGCTGTGGTTACAAGCTGGTGCTGCTCCGCCAGTGTGGGCAGTGCCAGGTACCAGGCACTGCTTTGTTGGGTGCAGGCCAAGGTTGGGCTCTGGCACCACTGCTGGGAAGAGTGCAGAGCTGCTTGCTTGGCAGTCAGATGTCTCAGTTTGATCTCAGTGCTGGTGTCGCACAGCTGGCAGCACATCTGGAAGCAGCACTGAGGCAGGAAGGAGAAGGGGAGGGCAGCAGCTCCATAAATCACAGCGTGGTTGAAGGGAGCTCTGCTGCTGGTTGGTTACTGTCTGTAGGCACCCAGGTTGTTCTGAGCAGCAACAAACTGATTCTTTGAGGCTTTACTGTGTTGTCCTTGTCTGTGGCTGTTGGACGGGCAGGGAATGTTTGTGGACCCTTTGCGTTATCCTTTGGTGCATCATGAATGATTAGATGACTTTTATATAAGAAAATGAAGTGGGTGATATCATGAGGCAGAGTGAGCTCTGCCAGTCTCCGTTTATTGTTGTTGAGATTTTCAAAGCTATTTAAGGAATTTTAAAGCAAATTCCAGGAGAATGGGATATCCTCCAGAAATCTCAACTGTTCCCTCTTCAGTCTTTATGGAGCTCTTGCTCTTCGTTGTGTCATTGTGGGTGTCCTGCGAAGGATGGGAGGTATGGCTGTGGTGGGTGAGGGCTGATGTGGCATTGCTTGGCTGGTCCCCAGCAGTGGAGCAGGAGGAGCTTTCCCCACCCTGGCATCGTCCTGTGCAGCTTCATTCCTCATACACCAGAGGGTGTAATAAATAGTAATAAATGGCAATAGGTGTTACCTGCTCTGCAACTGTTTTTAGGTGAGATCTGGGTCCACAATGTGCATAGAGTGCCTGCAGTGCCAGAGAGCCTAGCAGGGCCTCCCAGCTCATGGGGTTTTGCATGACTTGAAATGCAAAGGTAGGAGAGAAAGAGACAGTTGATCTCAGGGGGTAAGAAGTTCCCATTATAACATTCAGATTAATTTTAAAAGCCATTTTTAAACCTTTAGTTAAGAAAAATACCTAGAATTAAGTGCTTATAAAAACTACAAAAACTGAATAATACTATTATTAGGGCTTAAAATGAGCTTTTTTCCCCCCCTCTCTTTTACTTGCATTGATCTACTGATGGATTAGCTGGGAATCAGCAGCAAGTGACCTGTGAAGTTCCTTTTTTCCTCCCTAAGAATTATGCATTTGTTAACATTTAAGTTACGGAAGGAGCTGGTTCCATGGGTCGGGTCTCTGTGTCTTAGAAATGACCCTGGATTTCAGCTCCTCCAGCTGATCTTACCTGCAGGACTCCTTGGAAAGCTTCAGGAGTTGAAGACCAGGAAAGGAAAACCCCTTTTTCTTTTCCTAGGGACAACCTTTGCCATACTTTAGGTACTTTCTGCTGAGTACCCACGTGTACATTTTCAGTGCCAAGGAAAGGGGGAGATGCGCCACTGCAGGGAGTACACAGGAGGGGAGCGGAAGAGCAGGGCACACCATGCTCCCATCCCAGCCTCTGGATCCTGTCTTCTCTATCTGCAGACAGCAAAGATACCAGGGATCTTATTTTTCGAGATGAGCCATCTCATCTGTCAGCAGCTGAGGGAATTACAATAAGAATATGCTTTTTTTACCCCCTCTCTCTTAAAACAGCAAAAAGTTTTTATCAAGATGCCATTTATCAGCAGCGCTACCAGCCGCTAGCAGTAGGCATCCTGCCAATCACTTTATGGAAATAGGGAAGGACTTTAATGTTTGGATGCCCATCTGAATCGACTCTTGTTCATGTCAGCAGATCTGATGTGAAAGCAAAGGTGCCCCTATGCAGTCTAGTTACCATCAAACCTGTAAGTGTCAGCAATTTCAAGGCAAGGAACACAATGCTGATGGTGGGCAATGTCACTGGTTTAACCTATCTCAAAGACATTAGCTCCTGCAGTCTGCTCCTGCTCCGTGGCTCGCAAGGATTAGTTATGCCCGAAGTGCCCCTGCTCACTTAATCTCTGCAAATAATTCTGGAGGTACCTGCTTATCCCCATCTTCCTCTCGTAACAAATTCCTCTGTTCATCTCAGCTAGCTGCAAATGTGGCCAACAGCTATTTGGCTTGGGCTTTAAACTCTGGGATCTCTCATGGCGCTTTAAAGCAATGTGTTGACAGCAGTTACCATCCTGCAGCCCTGGCTCCAGGGGCAAACTCCACATGGATCTGCTCTCTGAGAGCAAAACCCTTTGGGACAAGGCTGCCTTAAGAGCCAGGGGTGAACTGACACAGCTCAAACTGGAGTCACTGCGTGCCCAAACCACTGGCTGTGGTGGTACATGGGGACGCTGGCACAGTGGAACCAATGCTAACTACAGGGTAGGAGTGATGCGGCTGTGTCATGAGCACATGTATGCTATCAGGCTCTCTGGGTTGTTTTCCCAGAGCAAATTTCAGCACTTCCCAAGACAGCCGAAACTCTTCTGGGCCCTGCCTGTCCTGACCGAGGTGTAATTGAATGTAGAGGAACCAGGATCATTAATCTCCAGGGCTGTAGGTGTTTCGGCTGAGCAGCTTCCCCAGTGGGATCAAAGTGTGGAGCTGAGCTCTCGGCTGCATCCCGCATCCCTTTCCCACCTTTGTCTGCCCCTCACAGTGTCTGGTTTCGGGTAGGGAGTCATGCTGGGCTCCAGCCTGGAGCCCTGGGTCTCTTGGAGCCAGGAGTTTAATTCCTAGGTCTCTGCATGGAGAACCTGGGGGAAAAAGTTGCTGCAGTGCCTGGAGACAATGCATGTTCCTGAAACCAAGCCTGTGATGTGGTGTGGAGGCATTTCCCTATGTGCCTAAACCTGGGATGTGCTCCTGTTAGAGGGGTGAGGTCAGGCTGAACAGAGATGTGCCATGGAAATACAGATTTAAATTCACTGGGAGGTGTCTGAAATCAACCTTGGAACGTGGGACTGTGTCCTGACACACAGAAACACCCAGGTCCCCTGTCCCTGTGCCTCCTTCCCTCTTTGTGTCCTCTCTTTCCCATGTCCCTTCAGGCTGTGCAGAATTTGGAGCAGGGATGTCTGGCAGTGCCTAACACCCTGCTGCCATGCCCTCCGCGTTTTGTTCTCCTGATGCTTTCCACAACCACCTCTGGGATGCAGAAGGCTGAGCCAGGGGTAGGGCTGTGCCTTCCCGACACCATCCCTCTGCTCCACAGGCATCTCCATCCCCTCCCTGCCCTCCATTTGCATAGCATTTCCATGAAGGTCGGGATGGTTTTGGAGGTGACCCCAAGGGATGCTGGAGGCAGGAGGAGGGTAGAGGCAAGACCAGCCTCCCGCGGGCACTGCTGGCACCGCTGCTGCTGTTGACACTAGAAGTGATTAACATGGGTAGGACAGTGAGAGGGAAATAAATAACATCCTAATCTCTGGCACCATCATTCCTTTGATGAGAACAAAAAATATGAAGACTGAAAGATCAAAATAACTGTATTAGAGCATGAAAAGGGAAATGCTCTTTTAACCACCGCTGTTCAGATATATCTCCTCAGATCTGACATGCTGTAATATATTTGTAACACAGATATATATTAGGGGGTAAAGCTGGTGATTAATTTGCTTTACCTTTTCAGAGCATGTACATAAAAACCTACATTAGCAGAATTAGCATTTTACCTGGCTTTGAAGATCTTGGCTTTGAAATGTATAAAGTCATGTTGATTTTATGTCTCTCAGAAGAATAAGAGTTGTTTTTTTACATGGAGCCTCCCCCCGGCCCACCTCCTCCTAGGTTCTTGTGCATGGTGCAGGCAGAGATGCTCTGAGTTTTGTCTCTAATTACTGCATCAGTACCCTCCGGGGCATTGCTTTAGCTGCTGCCCATATTCACCCCTCTTGACTCATAATTGCTGTTGAAGCTTCTGAGACTAGAGATCAAAGTATTCATGGCATTCATGTTTCTGTCAAAGGTCTTATCGTCAAAGCACCAACTGTATTGAGAGAGATGTCTCCTTTTCTCAAGAGCAACAGACAAATTTGGCTTTGCCTGGCCTTTTCTCTCCTCACTGCATGGAAATGCAGGTACCTGAAGGCAGCAAGGGGCTGTCCAGGCTCCTTCTGGCCATCCTGCACTCCTGGCATTATCGATCGCTAGAAGCATTGTCCCGACCAAAACTGCTGTTCCAGATGTTTGTCTTTGAGCGGCACCATCCTCCCTGTCTGGACATAGAAGGATGCTAGAGCTGGCGTTGTCTCTTGCTGTTTACTGCCTCTGTTTCAGTTGGCTTTCAAGGCTGGTTGGCTGCTGGGTCAGGCCCTCACAGCTTAGACACAGCTGTTCTCCTAATTTTCCTCTGGATACCTGCTCCTGCTGTATGGACAGACTGAGAGCTCATCTGGACCAGGCTCTCTGGCTGTGTGTCCTTTTGTGGAGAGATTTTGCCTTCAACCAAAGCATTAGATGGTAAAAATTATCTCTGTTGTTTCTGGTTTTTAATGTAGTCTAGATTTGGATTCAGGCAACTTAGCAGAAATGTTCAGCTGTATTTGTGATGTTTTCCTTTGGGAAGGAGCCGTGCAGTTAAGGCTTGCAGGGATTCCTGGCGAGGTGCTGGGTGAGGGCAGGCAGTGATGCTCAGTGGCTCAAGCACAGGAGCCAGGGATGTGACTGGGCAGCACAAAGCAGCCCATGGGTTCCCCCTGTGAATACTCACACTCCTCCCTGTAGTGCCCTGTGAAATGCTTCCTCACTGCCCATAAATCCTCTCGGAGCAGCGTGCACTAACACTGCTCGTG